TGACCTGGGGGGGTGGGGGGGAGGGCAGGTGGAGGGGGAGCGTTTCAGGGCAAACGGGGACAAGGGGTGGTGGGACGATGGGGAGACAGAGGGCCATTTGCTCAGGTGATGAGATGGGTAGATGGTAGTGGAGGAACAGATGTGGGGGGTTGACAGGAGGGTGAGAAAGATTGCCTTTGGAGGGTTAATCCCATCTCCCGAAATTGAGGCTTTGGGATCTAGCTCTCAATTGAAATCCTGTGTGTGCGTGTGATGATTAAAAGCCATTTGAGGTATTGGAGGCTGAGAGAGAAGGACAGCTGTGAGCGACCCCGCTCCGGTTCGGGGTCTGCGGGTGCTGGGCGGAGAGGCGGGCGTGTGCTACCTGCTGCCTGATGTGCAGGAGAAACCCGGAGGCTGGGCGGGGCGCGCGCCCCCGGGTGGGCTGGGTGCCGGGGCGACCTCAGGATTCCCCGGCTGAGGTTTTCCCTTCCACGCCTGCCCTGGGCGGCCTCCCCGAGGTGTTGACTTTGGCAGCGACCCTTCCCGGTAAGCAGCGTGGAAAGGAGCAAGAGGTCATGTTTCGAAATAGTGTTTGTTACCTAATCCACAGCCTGTTTTCAGCGGCAGAGGTTGGAGGGAGCAGTGGCTTTTTTTTTTTTTTTTTTCCTCCTCCTAGGAATCCATTTTACTAAGGCAGGGTGGTGGTGACTCCCGAAAGCGCTGGGCTTCGGCGTCTGCTTCTAGGTGATGTGCTGTGTTGTTCAAGCATCTATAGTTACCTCTTTGGGCCTCAGTTTTCTCATCTGTAAATAGGGATATAAATTAGTGTTCTCTGTGTGGCTGGATGATAAGGGACAAATGGAATCATGGTTGGGAAAGCACCTTAAAATTGGAAAGACATTGCCAAGATACTACTTCTTATGCAATTAAAAAAAAAAAAAACCAAGACATGGCCTTCTGTATTTAATGCTGTGTTTTTAAGGAGACAGAAAAATCTCTTCCTGTGGGTATCCCGTAGGAAAACAAAAGCTGACCATGGTGTAAAAGGTGGAGCCATCTTACAGAGTATTGGATTTTTGTTTGCTTGTCTGTTGGCAACCAGCCTTGTGTACCAGGATATTAATGAATAATTAAGAGCCTGGCTGGAAGAGGAGGGATTGGAAGATAAGGCTGCATGATCTACCAGGAGGGGATTGTTCCAGGTATAAGGGTCTATGTGAGGAGGTAGGATGACAGAAGTCACATTGTCACTGCTGATTCAGGGACAGCAAAATGGAAGTCTAGAGTAAATCAAGTCGTGTGCTGAGAGTAATAAAAAGCCTTTGAGACAGTCACAAGCTTGAATGGGACAGAAAAAGCCAGTGGGAAGGTGAGTCAGATATATACCAGCCAGTGATGGATGAGTACATGGGGTGTGTGTGTGTGTGTATATGCACATCCCCGCTGGAGTGTGTGCACATCCCCGCTGGAGTGTGTGCATATCCTCACTGGAGTGTGTGCTTTTCAGTAGATTAGAAGGGCTAGCTCAGTGGAAGAGCTTTGGAATTCATTTCAGCCACAGAGATAAGGGCTACTCGGTGAAGATTCAGTATTCACAGATGTGATTTCTTAGAAACTGAGCCCAGAAGGAAGAGACTAGGGTTCAGACGGGGAAACAAGTTTCCTTTTTTCTTTTTCTGTCCGATTCTGAGAAGGAGCAGAGAGTGCATCATGAGAAGGAGCTTTCCCGAAGCCGAATTCCCCGTCTGATTCTTCGGCCCCATCTGCCCCAGCAGCAGCACAAAGTGTCCCCAGCCTCGGAGTCTCCCTTCTCTGAGGAAGAGAGCAGAGAGTTCAACCACAGCAGCTCCGGGCGCTCAGGGAGGACCATTAGCAGCAACAGCTTCTGTTCAGGTACAGTATGAAGTGTGTGCATTGCAGGTACATGGCGAATGGGCCAGGAGTATGAAATGTGTGCATTGCAGGTACATGGCGAATGGGCCAGGAGTATGAAATGTGTGCATTGCAGGTACATGGCGAATGGGCCAGGAGTATGAAATGTGTGCATTGCAGGTACATGGCGAATGGGCCAGGAGTATGAAATGTGTGCATTGCAGGTACATGGCGAATGGGCCAGGAGTATGAAATGTGTGCATTGCAGGTACATGGCGAATGGGCCAGGAGTATGAAATGTGTGCATTGCAGGTACATGGCGAATGGGCCAGGAGTATGAAATGTGTGCATTGCAGGTACATGGCGAATGGGCCAGGAGTATGAAATGTGTGCATTGCAGGTACATGGCGAATGGGCCAGGAGTATGAAATGTGTGCATTGCAGGTACATGGCGAATGGGCCAGGAGTATGAAATGTGTGCATTGCAGGTACATGGCGAATGGGCCAGGAGTATGAAATGTGTGCATTGCAGGTACATGGCGAATGGGCCAGGAGTATGAAATGTGTGCATTGCAGGTACATGGCGAATGGGCCAGGAGTATGAAATGTGTGCATTGCAGGTACATGGCGAATGGGCCAGGAGTATGAAATGTGTGCATTGCAGGTACATGGCGAATGGGCCAGGAGTATGAAATGTGTGCATTGCAGGTACATGGCGAATGGGCCAGGAGTATGAAATGTGTGCATTGCAGGTACATGGCGAATGGGCCAGGAGTATGAAATGTGTGCATTGCAGGTACATGGCGAATGGGCCAGGAGTATGAAATGTGTGCATTGCAGGTACATGGCGAATGGGCCAGGAGTATGAAATGTGTGCATTGCAGGTACATGGTGAATGGGCCAGGACTGGGCCCTGAGAGCCTAGAACTAGATTTCTGTTATTAGGATGAATTGTCTATGGTTGCACCTTTTTTGCTGTTTGACCCACAAATACAGCAGTTCAATGAGGTTCAACCCAATGGAATTTCATACCTGTTTTTATATGTTATTTTAGTTGATAATTTACAATGCAAATTCTAACTTCTTGTTTCTATGACTGTTTAAAAGTGTATTCCTTTGTTGCCTAGCCAATGTGGCTCAGTGGGTTAGAGACTCATCCATCCCATGCACAAGGTCTCGGATCCCATCTGGGTGGGTCATGAATCCTGGGTTCCAGGTTGGATCCCTGGCCCTGGTTGAGGCATCCAATCGATGTTTCTCTCTCTCTTCCCCACCCTACTACCTCTCCCCCTCCCTTTCTCCCTTCCACTCTCTCTGAAATCAGTTTGGGGCGGGGGGATATCCTTGGGTGAGACTAAAAATAAAATAAAAATGTGTTCCTTTGTTAAATATGGAAAACATATTCGCTTGCATTTTAAACTAACAACCTTTATAAGCCTGTGGACTAGGTTAGAGACTCATCCATCCCATGCACAAGGTCTCGGATCCCATCTGGGTCATGACACAATCCTGGGTTCCAGGTTGGATCCCTGGCCCTGGTTGAGGCATCCAATCGATGTTTCTCTCTCTCTTCCCCACCCTACTACCTCTCCCCCTCCCTTTCTCCCTTCCACTCTCTCTGAAATCAGTTTGGGGCGGGGGGATATCCTTGGGTGAGACTAAAAATAAAATAAAAATGTGTTCCTTTGTTAAATATGGAAAACATATTCGCTTGCATTTTAAACTAACAACCTTTATAAGCCTGTGGACTATTTGTGGAATCCTCAAAGATAAAGCAACTCCTAAACCTCAGGATCCAGGAGGTTTATATCCCAGGACTGGCCTTGGAGTTTTGACAGAGGGGAAGAGGACAGGTTTTGTCATCTTTCAGGCCTGAGTGGGGATCCCTGGCTTTTTCGCCATTTACAAGCGGTGTGCCCTTGGGCAAGTTGCTTAACCTCTTTAAACTTTAGTTGTTACATCCATAAAATGGGATGGTAATACCTACCTTGTCGAGTTGCTGTGAGGTTGAATGAAACCACATACCTAAGTGTACTCCTAGCTCAGTGCCTGGCTTCTAGAGGTGCTTAACAAATGATGGTTCTTAGTATGAAGATCTAGGGATGTCAGTTTTGGCACATGATTAAGGAAGTTTCCTTAAAGTTCTGAGCATATTTGGTAAAAGTACAAATCTCTTCATAGCTCTGGAAGGTGCCACCCCACCATAGTCACTTGATAGAGCCTATTATACTTACTCATTGAAGCACATGACTTCAAAGGATTTGAATTATCTCAGAAGTATTAGGAATTTGGGTAAAAATTAAATGAGTGACTATCTCATGATTAATGAAAGATGCTTCATAGTGGATAATTTTTAGAACTTTTAGGGAAAATGTAATTTGAAGATTAAGCTATTATTAGAAGGAATATGTGAATCAAGATACTGTGATTAATGCCCTAATTTAGCAGGTTATAATATTTCATTATATTTAGTATTGGTAAACTACATTTTTCGGGGATTTTAAAATGCGACTTTGGATTTATTATATACTTTCACAAAAGAATTCCATCCATAACTTGTATATTAGAAATACTATGCTGCCTATTTTTTTCCTTTGTAAAGCTTTAGATTATCTGCTTGGTTCTGAAAGGAAATTCTATCAAAATGTTATATTTTAATATTTATTGCTATTGGAATGATATGAGTTTAGATTAAAATGGAAATCCACTGATGGGTTTGCTTGATAAGGAGGAAAACTGACCAGCTGGAGCAGTTAAGATCCTTAGAAACTGGAATCGTATTTGCAGAATGTAATGCTGTTTACTTTAGCTCCATTTGGAGCTCAGGAATCACCAGGGGATATCATTTCAAACTGACATGGCTTTGTTTACGTAACTCAGTTCCACATTTATTACTGATATTCTCTCCACATAATCATTTTCTCTAACTGACTTCAGGGTGAGTAGTGTTATCAGAAAGAAAAAAAAGAGAAAAGTTAGTCAAAATAAAAAAAAAAACTCCAAATATATTTTAGAAAAAATACATTTGACAAACCAATAAAATTATTACTTTGGGTCATGAATCACTCTCTCCAAGACCCATTCCTTGGCTCACCCCTCCTTCCCAGGGGACCCGTCTCCCACTAAGGCCATAATGCTGTACATGAAAATCGAAAGTAGATATTGATCCTTCTGCCACTAACTAGCTGAGAATTGAGTGGTGGAAGCAGCTAATGATGGGTGTCTGTAAACCTGCCTTTCCATCTTCAGCCTCGCATCCTGTCTCCTGATGGGATCCCCTTCGTTCCTGGGCCTCATCCTCCTGTGTTGGTGACTCCCCAAGGTTTGGGCTGGTGCTTTTTCCTTCTTTGCCTGCCTTTCCCGCAGAGCCCTGACAAACCCCACGAGGACTCTGAGTGCTTTGCTGACTAAAATGGACAGGAGCAAGGCCTTGGGGGGCGTGTTAATGATGCTCTAGGAGGTCAGTCAGTGGATGGGAAATAAATGGGTTGGTACTGTGGGGAGCATTAAAGCTGCAGGCAGTGCAGGAGAAAATGTAAAACAGTCCAACCAGCAGATGGGAGTAGCTGGTTTTAATCCAGCCACTTTACCACTAAGGCCAGAATAGGTGTTGGTTGCTTAATCATGGCAGTTAAGTCAGAGACCAGGGTACCTGCAAACATTGCAAAAGCCATCCTCTGCTAGAATGAAACTGTGATTTTTTAGAGGTGTCTGTTACCACCATAGCTTTGTAAGCTTACAGTGGTCATTCTGCATTAGCTTGTCTCCTTCATAAATCATCACATTCATTAATGGAAAAGGGGACATGCAGGATTAGGGGGAGATGCAATTTAATTTGAAAATTATCTTTTAAGGACTGCAAACTAGAGGCTCTTTCCCCAAATCTGTGTCAAAGGCATTTCATTCATTGTTAAGAGCATCATATATTCTAAGATATTTAGTTATTAAAAGGAGGATAATAGGGAGTTTACACAAAGTTTACTTTATTTAATATAAAGGATTATCCTTTATTTTGAGAGTCTGGCTCTGTGTTATAAGAAAAAAATCATGATAATGGATTTGCTCTCCACCCCCACCCTCAAATTTTTCTTCTCATTTTACAGATCAGTGAAATTGAAAAACGGGAAACTGTTTTCAAAGTGACCTGTCCATTTTCACTTTTCTCTGTTCCTTCCCACATGCCACTGCCTTCCCCCTTTCTTCCCATGGGAACCTTGATAAGGAACATTTAATGACTTGATATTCTATATGCTAATTTGTATGTTGTATCTATCTCATTTCAGGAAGGAGTTGTGTGTGACCTTTTGCAATTCATTTGGGGTGTGTCCCCAAAGAGCTCTTCTTTTAATAGCTTCTTATGAGCAGGATTTCTTTGAAGATTGTGTGTGTGTGTGTGTGTGTGTGTGTGTGTGTGTGTGTTTTGCAATGTATTCGAACATCATTCTATTAAAAGTCTACTCCTTACAGTTGGCATTCATCTTAGTCACTGAGTCCTTAGTTGGGTACAGTTAAATTGATATTGTACATATTGGAGGCCAGGCCCTATTTTATGTACACAGCAATAAAACGTATATTTTTAGTAAATATTAACTAACACTTTCTTTAAAAAAGAATATACAAGCATAAGGAAATACAGTTCAGAGTAACAAAACACCTGCTTTCTTGTCTTACCTTTTATTTTTAATCAGTTTTTAACCAATGTTTTGGCATAAATTTCCCCTATCTTTTTCCCCCCCAAGCCCTCTGCCCATGAGAAGTGATAAAATCCATATTTATGACTTGTGTCCCGCGTATGGCCCACTGCATCTAGGTCTCTCTCTCTCTCTCTCTCTCGTTGGTTAATTGTGTTTGTCATTGTACCAGGACTCCAGCCACTATTAGAAAAGCTGATGACCTGGGTAAGTCAGTCACATACATCAGTCACCTGACATGGTTAGCAGCATGCTGGGCATTCCTCTTCGCTTAGTTGGGGCAATAATTGCCCCCTTAGAACTGGGAGGCAGATGGATTGCTGGGTTTTA